TAACCATATACAAAAATCAACTCAAGATGGATTAAAGACTTAAACTTAAGACCCAAAACTATAAAACTAGTAGAAGAAAACATAGGGAAAATTCTTCTAGACATTGGCCTAGGTGAAGGTTTTATGGCTAAGGCTTCAAAAGTGCAGACAACTAAAACAAAAAGAGACAAAAAGGACTATATTAAATCAAAAATCTCTGCATAGCAAAGGAAAAAATCAGTTGAGTGGAGAGATAACCTGTTGAATGGGTAAAAATATGTTCAACTAGATGATATCCTGAAGAGTATTTTCCAGCTTGGATTCATTCTCTCCATCACATTCAGGTACACCTATCAAACGTAGATTAGGTCTTTTCACATAGTCCCGTATTTCTTGGAGACTTTGTTCATTCCTTTTTACCATTTTTTCTCTAATCTTGCCTTCTCGTTTTATTTCATTGAGTTGATCTTCGACCTCTGATATCGTTTCTTCTGCTTGGTCAATTCAGCTGTGCATGCTTCGCAAAGTTCTCATGTTGTGTTTTTCAGCTCCATCAATTCATTTCTACTCCTCTCTAAGTTGTCTATTCTCGTTAGCATTTCATCAAATCTTTTTTCAGGGCTCTTAGTTTCTTTGCATTGGGTTAGAAGATGTTCTTTTAGCTCACAGAAATTTCTTATTACCCCCCTTCTGAAGCCTGATTCTGTCAATTCATCACACTCATTCTCTATTCAGCCTTGTTCCCTTGCTGGTGAGAAGTTGTGATCCCTTGTAGGAGGAGAGGTGTTCTGGTTTCGGGTGCTTTCATCCTTTTTGTGCTGGTTTCTTCCCATCTTTGTGAATTTATCCACCTGTCATCTTTGAAGTTGTTGACTTTCAGATTGGGTCTCTGAATGGACGTCCAGTTTGTTGATGATGAAGTTATTTCCTTCTGTTTCTTAGTTTTCCTTCTAACAGTCTGGCCCCTCTGCTGTAGGACTGCTGAGGTCCACTCCAGGCCCTGCTTGCCTGGGGATCACCTGCAGCGACTGCAGAACAGCAAGGGTTGCTAACAGTTTCTTCTCCTGCTATCTTTGTCCCAGAAGGATACCTGCCAAATGTCAGTCTGAGCTCTCCTTTATGAGGTGACTCTTTGGATATATGGGGGTCAGTGAGCTGCTTGAGGAGACAGTCTGTCCTTTATAGGAGCTCAAGTGCTGAGCTGTGATCTCTGTTGTTCATTTAGAGCTGCTGGGCAGGTACGTTTAAGTCTGCTGCAGCAGAACTCATAAACCCCCCCTTTTTTTCCCCAGGTGCTCTGTTCCAGGTAGTTAGGGCTTTATTTATGAGTTTCCATTGTGCCCTGCCCAGCAAGGAGGCAGCCTAGTCACTGTCTGCCTGCAGAGGCTTTGCTGAGCTGCTGTGGGCTCTGCCCAGCTGCTGTGTGAACTTCCCTGCAGTCCTATTTATACGGGTGTAGTTAAAACTGCCTCAGCAAAGCCTGCCCACTTCTGTAATGGCGGACTCCCTCTGTAGTGGTGTGTTGCCTCGGCAACGGCGGGCTGCCTCAGCAATGGCGGACTACCTCTGTAGTGGTGGAGTGCCTCAGTAATGGTGGACGCCCCTCCCCCACAGAGCTGGCCCTTCCCGGGTTCAGCTGTGCTTGCTGTGAAACTCTCAACCGAGAGCATTTCCAATTGCTGTTTTTTTGTCGGGGGGGACCAGCCGAGCCTGATCACCTGGCTCCCTGCCTCAGAGCCTTTTTTTTTAGTTGAACAGTCGACTGTCTCCTGGGTGTTCCAGTCACCTGCAAACTATTCATCTGATAAGTGATTAATATTCAGAATATACCAGAAACTCAAACAAGTCAAGAATAATAAAACAAATAATCCCATTAAAAAGTGGGCAAAAGACATAAATGGACAATTCTCAAAAGAAGACATACAAATGACCAACTGGTATATGAAAAAAATGCTCAACATCACTAGACATCAGGGAAATACAAGTCAAAACCACAATGAGATACCATCTCACTCCAGTTTGAATGGCTACTATTAAAAGACCAAAAAAAAAAAAAAAAGTCACAGATGCTGGCAAGGTTGTGGAAAAAAGAGAGCTCTTATACACTTTTGTGGAAATGGAAATTAGTACAAACACTATAAAAAACAGTATAAAGATTTCTCAAAAAAAAAACTAAAAATGTAACTACCATATGATCTGGCAATCCCACTGCTGAGTGTCTACCCAAAGGAAAAGAAATCAGTATGTCAAAAGGATACCTATACTCGCATGTTTATCACAGCACTATTCACAGTGGCAAAGATATGGAATAAATCTAGGTGTCCATCAGTGGATGAGTGGAAAAAGAAAATGTGGTGTATATACACTATGGAATACTATTTGGCCATAAAAAATGCTGCAATTCATGTTGCAGCAACATGGATGGAATTCGAGGTGATTGTGTTAAGTGAAATGAGCCAGGTACAGAAAGGCAAATATTTCATGTTCTCATTCATGTGTGAGAGGAAAAAAAAAAAAAAGTTTATCTCATGGAGGAAGAGAATGGAATAATAGATAATAGAGCCTGAAAGGGTGTGTTGGTAGGAGGTGATAAAGAGAAGTTGGTTAATAGGTACAAACATACAGGTAGATGGAAGGGATAAGTTCTAATGTTTGATAGCAAAGTAAGGTGACTATAGTTAACATCAAATGCACTGTGTATTCCAAAATAGCTGGGAGAGAGAATTTGTTATGTTCCCAACAGATAGAAATGATAAATACTTGAAGAGATGAACACCTCAAATGCCCTTACTTGATTATTACATAGTCCATGCATGTAACAAAATATCACATGTACCCCATAAACATGTACAAAATTATCAATAAAAAAATCAAGCCATGTCCTGAATGACCTGGGGGACATTTTGCTAAGTGAAATGAGCCAGACACAGAAAGGCAAATACTGCATTGATCTCACTTCTATGTGGAGTCTAAAAATGCTGAACTCATAGAAGCAGAGAAGAGAATGGTGGCTGCCAGGGCTTAGAATGGTATGGGGAGATGTTGGTCAAAGAATACAAAATTTTAGTTAGAAAGAAGAAACAACTTCAACAGATCTGTTGTTCAACATGTTACCTACAGCTAGTAACTAACTGTATTATATTCTTAAAAACTGCTAAAAGAGTAGATTTTAAGTGTTCTCACCATATACCAAAAAAGTATGTAATATAATCAGCTCAATTCAGCCATTTCACAATGTATACACATTTCAGAGCATGATGTTGTACCTGACACATTTTTTATTTATCAATGAAAAATAAATTAATTTAAAAGATTGGGCTATTTCCCACTGTGGCTTAGAGTCTACACCCAGCCCTCCTTCTTCCTGACTGCCTTACTGCTGCCAGTTGCTGATTGCACCCTCAGAGTCTCAGCCTTCTTCGCCGAGTTTTGCTGGCTCACTCCTCGTCTCAGCTCATTCACTCTCCTTACCAATGTCTACTGCCATGTGTTGCAAGGCCTGAAATTCCATGTGCTGCCTTGGCATAGTTTAGCCTCACAGGGCATTAAAGGCCTAGCCACAATTTTCCCTGCTCTCATCAGATATGCTCCCTACCAAGAGGGAAAAGCTCACTCAGCTATATCCCCTGTCAGCCATATCAGCTGTTTATCCCCTGGTATTCAACCAAAAAGACTGATTCTCTACCAGCTGGTAGAGCTACTGTTTGATCTTGAACTGCAGGAAAACAGTAACCAACACCGGAGTATCCAGGCAACTTTCCCACCAATAGTGCACCCAGGGGGCCCTTCTACCTGGATGTCCTTTAACCCTCCCCCTCCAACCTACAATCAGTTGCATACTCTGAGGAGAGGCTTGTGGCTCTATTTGGGCAATGCTGAATCAGAGCGGGGAAAGCAAAGGTGACAGGGACAGGGAGGAGAGTTAAATGGACATGGAGGAGTTAAATTTTCTATCTCATGCAGATCCTGGCTAAGGGGAGAGAGAATAACAGCCCCTTAGCTATAGGTGGGGAAGGGGACACAGGAAGGGGCCTTGGGGAATGCTGGACAGGTTGTGAGAACACAGAGAATTGGGGAGGAGAGATGGAGGGGACAGAAAGACTGCTTGCAGGCTTATTTTGCAGCTCACATTAAAAGACAAGAGAAATGCTTGGAATTTGTGACGGTTTTAATGGTTCCTTTTATGTAATTTCATCTTATTCCTAACTTAAACTTGCCCATATCCATCATGGCTCTGACCTCATTGCTCTCCCTGTCCCCTCTTCAGCTTAAGCTCTCACTTCTCTGTCACCAATTGTGCACATAGTTCCCATTTCAGGTTTCCTGGAGTATCTGACTTGCTCAGGATATTTCCTGGGGACAGAGCTTTTTCAATGGGAGCCATCTCATATATCTTGTTGGACTATTGGGTGGCTTCACTTCAGGAAAATTAATTTTCTTTGATTGGCTGTGGCCTGAAGGTTTGTTTGATGTGACACCAGGGCATTCTACTTTCCTGGGGACACTGAACAGAGCGAACAGAGCAGATGCCCCTGGAAGGCTCTGTGACATGACATCTGCAATAATGAAACACTTCCCAAACCCCCAGCCCAGCTGTTGGTCTGCTCTTAAATAATGTCTTTTCACTAGGACAAGCATTAGGTTTTAGAGGGGAACACCAGGGCTGTCTCTCCAAAATGGCTAGGGAGAAGAGTCTTTGGTCCTTGAATGCCAAGTACTATATCACTTGAACTTCACAGAGATTTTCAGATTGATGGTGAAGGAGATCTTGTGTGCAGCATGATCTCACCCTCTCCCCTGTGTCTGAGCACCTCTGCACAGTGTGTTAGGATGAACAGAAATCCCTTCCAGTGTAACCCAAGAACACCCTGTCAGCAAACACACATCCAACTTAAAGGACTGAAATGACAGACTCTGTTTTAGTGGCTCAAACATGGGATGACTTTATTGTTCTAATTATATTTAATTTCTCAAAATTCTGGGCAGGCCTCAGCACATAAGCCCCATGACTTTTTCATGTTCACCCTGGAGTTGCTTTATGACAGCATCCACAGCCACCTTGACAGGTCGATGTCATTTCTGTGCCTGCCCAGTTGTCTGTTGATTAAAAAGATCAGCACATTTTTGGTGGGCTTCTTGCGTTTGAAGGCTTTGTCAGGCTTCTTGATGTTCAGTGCGGTCTCGCTGGGAGCGGCTTTAGGGAGTTCTTTATCCATGACACAGCGGCTCCAAACAACCTCAGGAAGACAGCTTAACTAAGAAAGCCTGAAAAGGATAATGATTTTCAGGTAATCAAGTGGACCTGGGACCTCTTCCTCACTTGCCACACACCCACACAGCCACATATCGCATGCGTGCGCGCACACACACTAACACACACATACTCAGCTACCAGCAGTAGTCACAGCTACCAACAGTAGTACAGCAGTAGTCATTAGTGAGGATTCTTATATCCACACTAATTTTAACTGGATTTTATGTTGCTCTTTTGTAGAGCTGTCTTCTTCTCACCTCTGCCTCCTTTGAAAATCATTGGTGAAGCAGGTATGGATCTTACTCCAACCCTCCATGGAAGAAATAAACTGTACATTCTCAAATGCTACCTAGCTTCTGTTTCTGAGGCCCATCCTGCTGAGTTTCCATCCTGGGAATGTAATCTTAGTGATTTAAAGATTGTACTCACCCTGTCTCACCTCAAAAAGTGACCCTGTCTCACCTCAAAAAGTGCTGTGTGGTATTTTATTTGAATCTGGCACATTACCAAGGCCAGGGGTGGATGCTCACTGTGTTCTCAATTTTGGGCTCCCAAGCAAGATTAAAGGACTTCCAGAGAGGTGAGACTGGAACTGGGAAAACCTGTATCTGAAGCCTTGTGCTCCTACCCACTCCTCTATAGTGTCTCTGTATCAGTTTGAACAAATGACTCTCCCATATCCTCCCCCCATTACCAAACGGGGTTGGGGTTTAACGGATAGGTTGGTTAGGTAATGGCACAAAAGGATGCTGTATAATCTTGGTATATCAGGATATTTTACCTGTCAGACCACTCAGATTTCTTTTGAAGAAAAATCTGGACCAGAGGGTAAACAGTGAGAGGAAACACGACCTCCTTCCTCGGCACACTCTCTCTCTTTCCCTGAGTCCCAGAGCCTGATTGGTTCAGAACCAAGTGAAGTCATAGCTGCTATGGTGACTCATAACTGCCCTCAGAACCTAGTGCCAACTGTCCTCAAGATTCAAATGTTGGCCACCATCACCTGGGTTCCTCCTGGTGCAGGGCTCAATAGGGTGAGGGAAGTTGCTGGGTGAGGAAGCAGATACATCCTCTGGGTGAGTGCCATCTGCATATCTGTTTCCTAGATGAAAATGCTCAGCTCTCCTAGCCTCAGAGGTTGTCCCTTGCTTATGCAAAATCCCTTCATTCCTTTATTAAAATTTCTTCTTTGTGTGGATTAGCAGCATCCACTGCATCTAGCCAGGTTCCCTGGGTAGTGATCAGCAAATTTGTCTGCCGTGTTCCAATCAGGGATTAGTCTGAGGTCAAATTTCTCACTTGCTTGTCAAACTCTGCATCCTGCCTTGGTCATGACTCTGCAGTTAGTCCCTCTATAATACACAGTTCATGTAAATGGAGTGTTTAGTTGCAGAAATTAAACTCTGCAGTTAAACACTGCTGTGTCTTGCATACCTGTGTAACCCCCTCCCAAAGCTCAGAGCAGTGGAACTCCACACTTCTACTTTGTGGACCTGGGATGCAGGTGGGCTTTTAATGTCTTGGAAAATCTTATGCTAAAACTGGACAAGTTCATTGAGATATACACCCATGTCTCAAGCCGTATTCCCTTCCAAGTATCTGATCTAGAATAACTATATTGTTACCATTTAAGTGTGATCCAGGTAGGTATTGTCTAGATGCAGGACATGGATTTTCCAGGCTGTCAGAGGGATAACGGTGAGGACAGCGCTTTGTGTTTTTTACTGTGTGGTTCTCATGAGGAACTAAAATTACTATTATGAGACGTGGCTTGCCTCCACACTGGCTGCCCATTCAGTCTTATGTAAGAACTGAGAAAATTGAGATTCCTGTAAAACAACCCAGGTCACACACTCCCTTTCTTGAGTGGCAGGTAAGAAAGGCTCAGTCCTCCAGGTTTTCTCCTGGCCACATAGAGCCATGTGAAGACCCTGAGGCCATGTTCATTGTCCTAAACAATTTGGAGAGGGAAGATAAAATTATTGGTGTATTTTATTAACAAAGAAACTGGAAAACCATCTTTCTATTAAGGAACTGACATCCTAGAAAACCAAGGCAATCACCTAGGAAGTAGGCCACGAGAGGCTGATTGATAGGAGTTAAATGCATAAAAGCTTTGCATACTAGGCCAGACACAGTGGCTCATGCCTATATTCCCAGCACTTTGGAAGGCTGAGGGGGGTGGATTGCTTGAGCCCAGGAGTTCAAGACCAGTCTGGGCAACATAGGGAGACCCATCTCTACAATAAAAATAAATGAATAAATAAATAAATTAAAAATGTACAGTCTTCCTTAAATAGGGAATATCATAGAAATAAAATGTCCTGATTACATTGGTTGCAAACGTTATGAAACACCTAGTAAAATGATGAAGACAAGTATAAGGAAAACACACATACAACTTTGTATGAGCTTCCAGTTTGAATATTCACATAACATTTTAAAATACTATTTTTTTTGAAAAGGAAGTTTTTGCAATGGCATCAATTGTCCTCTAAATAAATCAGTAAATCCAGTGCAATCCCTATCATAATTTACACCACAATTTTGAGTTATGTGTCACTGGAAGAACAGGTTATATTGCAAAAAAAATGTGAAGGATTATGCAAGAGGGGGAGCTTGTCATTCTGGACTCAAAACTTACTCTGTAGTATTAGCAAATAAAACAGGAATTGCATGTCCATGGGCCAACAAAGATATTCTAGAAATATATTCATGCATATGTAGGACTCAAATAAATGATATAGCTGGCATTTAAAATCACAAGTTGCCATAAAGTTGACTTTTATGATCTTGTGTGTGTGCGTGTGTATGTCTGTGTTAGGAAATGGAAGTGCAGAGGGGCTTCTAGGGCAATTTGGTGCTTCTCCTTCAGGCAATTCTGGATTCCATCAACTTTCACAGGTCTGTCTGCTGTGCTGTCTTCCTAAAGCCATCTTTGGAGTCAAACAGTCAGGGCTCAGGGACACTCTGAAGTCGGTCCCAGCACACCTTCATGGAGCATCAGGAGGAAGGCAGATGAATCCATGCTGAGCATTTTACTCAGTAGACAGCTTGGGAATCATAGAAATAAGGCAAATCTAACAGAATTGCTATGGACACTGATGCAAGTCATACCAGGGTGGAGTTGGCCTTTGCCAACACACCATGCCATTAACCTGCCTCTGTCCCACAGGGAGCATAGAAAATCCAGGAAAATGGTGTGGATCAATAAATCCTTCCTCTGATGCAACCATTACAAATGGAAACTGTTTTCTCACTGCTTTTGGTTGGATGTGGCTTTTGTTCATGTGGTTTCTTAACTTCTCATCTGTCTCTGTGCTACCTGAGGCCACAGCAGATGAACTCTACCTACTCCCCCTTGAGAGGGTGTTCACTAACATTGTAGAGTCTGGGGGTGTTGGAGTCACGAGGGGCCCTGTTTAGAGAAGCTGGAAGGACAGCTGAGTGGACATGTGGAGAGGCCCTGCAGCCCTAAATTGCTAGGGGGAGGGGGCTTTAAAGAGCCCACTTAGAGGTCTTGATTTGTCTCCCTTGAAGTTTAGGGGAGGGGGTGGGTAGAGGTTGTAATCAAATAAATTTAAAATGAGAGTGGCTTGCAGAATGGGGAGGGGATTCTCCCAAGAGATATATTTCTTCAATTGAGAAAAAGAGAAAGGGAGCTAATGAGGTAACCAGAAATGCCCATGAAATAAAGAATGGTCTTTCAAATGTTGGTGCAAAATAACTTTGAGCCTACAATTCTACTCTAGCCAGGCATTCAAGTGTGAGGATAAATTAGCATACAAGGTGTTCAAGGGTGGGTTCCCTGGAAATGGACCCTACTTGTGAGTAGAAAGCGCTTAATTGGGAGGGAGTCCCTGATAGCACAGGTAAGGGTGTGGGGAGGTGAAATATACAAGGAATGCAGCGAATTTAAGTGGGAGGAATAAGCTAGCAGGTTTCCACTGTGGGTGATTGGAATTAATTCCCAGGGGGACCCTATGGGAGACTTTGTAGAACACATACCTCACATTCATCCCAAGTGTAGGATGAGAAGGCTTGCGGGTATTTAGCCACAAAATACCCAACCATACTTGTTAAGGTACTTCCCCTATGGGAGATATAAATCCCTGTCACCTTCAGTTGGCCTTGGGTGATATCCAGCATGCTCCAATTGTGAGACAAAAAGCCCCTAAGGCAGAGAGTCATGGCGATTGCCATAAGCAGCCCTGTAGCTGCAAAGGTGAGACGTAGCTCTGCAGGACCAGAGTCAGTGTCAGAATGTTTTTGGCACTGTCTGTTCCTTAAATAGGTCAATACTCACTGTGAAAATCTTCATTGAACTGGAGCTACATTTCCTCTCTGTAGATAGCATGTTTTAAACGTTTTGCCAATTATCAATTTTAATTGGAAACCAGATGTAGGAACTCTGTCCCAGAGGGTTGTGAGATGAGTGGTTAGCTATTGAAGGAACATGTGCATTGTAGGCATCAAAATCTTCCCCTTAGAGACGAGAAAGCAGGATTTTTGTAGTTCGTCCTGCCTGCAGATGTGCCATGCTGGGTGTTGGGCACAGGTCTCACCCTGGGATTTCATGGAGATCTTGGGCTGCATTTGTCAGGAACTCTATTCTTGCCATTCAGGCCAGAGGGGCCCAAGCTGCAGTGTCTCACCGGTTACTGAGGGGTTCCTTAGCACATGGAATACAAAGAAGCTCCTCCTCTCCAGGTCTCCCATAGCAGCTGGAACTTTATTCATGTTCCTATCATTACCTTCTCTTTGGAATGGGATGAGTTGCTGGTTAGTTTGCTCCCAGTCACCTATGCCCATCCAGGCCCACGCTCAGTACACTGTCCACATACTGGGTGCCCCTATCCCCAGGGATTCTTAGAAATGCTGTTCTGGGTGATGACTCCATTTCAGCACTGACACAGCCACTGGCAACTACAGATGGCCTTCTCAAGCTTATGTTGGGAGTCGAGTAATGAATGCTGTTTATTGCAGTTCACATGGGACTCTCAATGCCCAGCTCCACTGATGTTGCTTTTTGTTTTTCTTCTGTCTTCTGTATTACAAATCAGTGATTATTGATGAAATGCCGAGAAGCTACAACTTGTGGCTGCTCTCTTTTAGCATTATGTTATATGATTGGGGCCTCCTGTTCTGTTTAAGGTGCCCAGCTGCTTATCCTCTTGATTAACTTTAAAAGAGTTGAATTAGATGAGGCATAGTCCCTGTTTACAGCAATGCAGGCTATAGGGGCTTGGAAAGAGGCTATACTTAAATATATTCCTGGGAAACTTTTATGCATATATATATATATATCACTGAGTATAGGCACCTAACCATTGCTGGTGGGCATCTGGGAACCAACCATTAATCTGCTCCAGCTTCACAGCTGGCTAGCCATTCCCTGACCTATGCAAAACTCTGCACCACACTACCACATTGCACCCCCTCCCTTTTGTGATTTAGATTACAACTGACCACGATTAATGTTTAAATAAAGATCACAAGATTAATGGAATGCACTCTTTGTGGCAATAAGATACCAAATTATAAACAAGGCCTAAGGCCATGCCACTCAAGGGTTAAGTCCCACTCTGCTACATTTAAAGAATAAAGTAGGTTCTAACTGCCACAAAACTTTTCTGTCTCTGTAGCAGCTAAACCAGTATTGGCCTAGAGATAAGCAATATTGAAACAATTGCAGCTCACACACTTGCTGACTTACTGACCTCCACTCGCCTGTCCCATAAGCCATAACTACAGCTTTAACTGTACAAGAGACTGATTTCAATAACTCGCTCCTGATAAAAGCCACTGAATATGAACTGATTCTGGCCAGTTTACAGAGGCTGCACACTGAATGCCTTCATATACTTGCTTTACCTTTGATGTATAGGGCCTAAATGTAATGTA